TTTTTTTTTTTTCCATTTTGCGGGTTGGGTCGGGCGGGTTTGGGCGGTTTTTGTGTCCCAACCCGTGACCCGACGCGCCAGGGGAAAAAAACCCAACCCAGCTTAAAAAAATAAAAAAAAACCGACCCAAACCGGTCGGTTCGGGTCGGTTCGAGCGGGTTGGGCGGTTTTTTGCCCACCCCTAGTTGGAATATGTGATGTTAAAAAAGATAAAGGATAAGGCCTTGTTTTGAGAAAACTTTTAATCAAATTAAAATTGAAAATATATTCGTTATTGAGTCCCACTCGTCTAATAAAAGTCAACAATAACGACCATATTTTCAATTTTAATCTGATTTTAATCCCTCCCATACAACCTCTAAATTAGTAGTAATTTGCAAGATTTTAGACTGAAAACACAAATTTTCAAACTTCAAATAGTTAGCTCTTATTTGGTAATTTTTTATTAAAATACATTTTTTTTTTCAAAAACTTATTTTTGTAATTGTACCATCTCTCAATAAAATAAATTTATACATATATTTATATATTTTTCATAGAAATTACTTTTTAACAAAATCTACTCTTAAGAATCTCAATCAAACATGTTCTTAAAATTTATTTATTTATTTTTTGGTTAAATCTGAAGCCGTACGTCCTTTAAACCATTAAATCATATACCCACGCGCAATCGTTCTCACTCGCTCAATAACTCCCACCGTCCCTGATACATACACACACCTCAGAGTGAAAAACCGTAATTTGAGTCAACCTGGACAAACTTGGCTAGTCCTGATGCGTACTTAGTCGATGGATGGTTTTATTTTTTATTATCTGCTTGATTGTTTGATTAATTGATTGATTAAATAGGATTTCGAAGCTTTTTCTGTTTTTGCAAATCTCCATGTCAAACACATCAAGGGTTCAAGTCACTATTACCCTAGGACGCGATGCGCAGGTAATTATAATTCAATGCTCTTTTATACTTTTAATTTTTATTTATTTGGCAAATGTAAAAGGATTTCTTTATTTTCTTTTTGGAAGGACTATTATGAGATATTATATGTATTTAAATTACTGTTAGGCTGTAAATGCATTGTTGATGAATAAATAATGTGGAGAAAAGGGGTAGAGCTGATTTTTTTGTGTATTGATTTAGCAATTATAAAAAGATTTCTTTATTTTTAATTGGAAAGGACTATTATGTGCTATTATAGGCATTTCTAATAGGATTTAAATATGATGATTGATGATCAAATGATGTGGAGGAAGATAGAAACGGTATTTCCTGATTAAGATTGATTCATATACTAAATTTAGTTATTTGGATGGTATGGAAATGGGTGATTGATAAGTTTACACTCTAAAGCTTTACATATACAGGTAGTTATAATTATATTAATATGTCATATACGTACATATATTGATATATTGGCCTCTGCAGGTGGTGAAACGATCAGGCTCTACGGTGGATAGTTCTTTTGCTGATTCCCAGCCAGCAGTTGGAAGCAAACGATCCGTTAGAGATAGGCTGGGAAGTAATGTAGATTTATCTCTCCAAGTCAACAAGCGGTACATATTTTTGGTTTCTTTATCGTCTTATAGTTGTTATGAAGTTGTTCTGAGTATTGGCTACTTGTCTTAGTTTCAGGGGTTCAGCTTATCCTTTCCTAATTTTTCTTTTGTAAATATTCATCTCACAAATAATTATAACTATAAGTCCTGAACTATAGTTGCTGCTAAAGTTATTCTGATTCCATATAAAATTAGACATTATTCATTAGTTCTAATATTGAAGGCTGGTTAAATTATTGACAATCCAGAAAGAAAAAGTTAAAATGGTTAGATTATATTCTAGAAGTTGTATATTCATGGAGTCTGTCCTATGTTTTGCAGAATGAGGGGAAATGGAAGTTTGCTAATGGTGTGGATGGTAATAGACTTGTCTTGAATCCTTAAAGTTTAATGTAATTTAAAAATTAAGTCTTCAACGAGCTTGTCGTTTGTTAATTTTTGGTGATCTTAAATGAAAAAAGACATTCGTCTAAGTAGAGATGACCTCCGATTCAAAATCATGCAAAAGAAAATTATGAAGCAGGAGAAAGTCATAGCAACAAGAAAAATGGGACAGACCTTCGCAACATTTTGTCTAGGCCTGCTTAATCTTCAACAAATAGTGTAGTTACTCAGGAGCACGTCTAAGCAAAAGGATACAGGATTGCGGTATCCAGAACTAAGGTATAGTAGACAGCATTTCCAGGAACGAAATGATGGTAGGCAGCTAACCTCTGTAACCATAGATTCTAGACTGCACCGACCTGAAGCCAGGGATCAGTACATGCCTGACCCAAGGGAACCCCGTGCGGCTGAAACCAGGGAATCTAAACACGGCATCCGTGATGCCAGATGTCAAATCCTTGAGCCAAGAAGTTCAAGCATTAATGTACATATGCCTACGAGGACTGCGAATGATGTGCCCAAAGTGGACTCAGTGATAAATTCTTATTCTCCCTGGACTATGGACCGTTTAAGGGGAAGGTCGCCGGGTGAATTTTTGGTGAGTTCCCAAGGTCTCTCACCACCCACTAGAGATGAAGAATTACGGAGAAGGCTTCCAGTTAGGACATATGATGATGTTGGAATGAGGACATATAAGAGCAAAGATTTTTTTAACTTTTCAAGCTCTGATAATTTTTCACCTTTAATGATGAAAGTGGTTCCGTCTGCTGGACCTTCAAAGACCTTGACACGATTGGTTGCCCCACATACTCTGCCTGGCAGTGATTTACCGAGGAGTTCATATGCACTACAGACTACTTAACTTTCTACTTTTCTTCCTGTAAAGTTTTTATTGCTTCTGCTGCATGTTACTTGGAGAATAGTTTGTGGTAACTGCCATTTTTTATTTTTTCTCTTGTTTTTTCTATGAATATACTATGACTTAGGTGGTCGGACATGTTTTGCATACGCTTAAAGAGGCTACCGTTCATAAGAGTGAGGGGTAGAAAAAACCAACATGAGTGAGAGGAGTACACCAAAACCAACATGGCCTGACGTGGTTGCTAAGAATCCAGTTGCATTGGTTCTTGTGACAGATATAGCAATGAACTGAAAGGGTTGGAATAAAGGATTCATACCCCTTCACTTATTGGAAATAAGACTTTGATGTTTGTTTATTTGTGTGCTCTATGAATGGTAAAATTTGATATTAATCTTATTTGCAAGTTGTAAAGTTGCTTATATTTTTAGGAGAATGCTCCAATTGTAGGATTTGGATTTGCTAGATAATGCACTTAGACAGCAGGTTTACATGAAAAATGAGTTTCACTTTGTATATGATGTTTACCAATATGAGTGGTGTTGTCCATTTGAAAAGTTAAGTTAGTACTATTTTAAAAAAAAATGTTTTCTCCTTGTTGAATGTCATAAATTATGCTCTGTTTGACATCAATTCTCATTTTTTTCTCTTTCTTCATTTCAATTTTCAACCGCACATTTTCCAAATAAAATAATATTACACACTAATCTAAAATTTTTCATTACTTTTCAATGACACATTCTTCCATCAATCATTATTCCAGAATTCATTTTTTCCCCAAACTGGGTGTCAAACAAAAGCTTAATTGGCTTATTCTCCTAGTCAATTTATAATGGCATCTGCTACCTATTCATTTGGAAGCGCCTTATGTTGGCTGCCCTTGTCTTACTTTAAAAACCTTTTGGGGACCTGATGGAACATAAATCAGTCAACTTCAAGTATAATGGGAATCAGGCATAGTTTGAAATTATTGTTTATCGTATATCGAAATAGGTCAACTTCAAGTGTATTGAGAATAAGGCGTAGTGTCTTTTAGTATTGTTGCATATGGGATATTAAAAGGCCTCTGCTTACTACAAATTGGTTCACATGTGCAGAAGTTTAAATGCTGTGAGTTAGAGCAGGATAGAAATTAAAGATGGGACAAGATGGATGTTAAAAGGCCTCTGCTTACTACAAATTGGTTCACATGTGCAGAAGTTTAAATGCTGTCAGTTAGAGCAGGATATAAATTAAAAATGGGACAAGATCGCCATATTCAATGTTGGGTCTCTCTTTCCTATTTCAGCCTCCATTATTACTGCGTAGAAAAATCTATATTGAGCCTGTTCAATCCCCCCCCCCCCCTCCCCTCCCCAAAAAAAACAAATATTGCCCTATGGCAGTTTCTTTATTAATATTATTGCAGGAAAAGGAAATATAACACTATGTAGGGGGACATAAAGTCCGACTTCCAGCTATGGATAAAATGCAAAATAACTTATCCAGACTGAAAGACTCTGATTACATAGTGAAAAAGATCTAGTCTATGCTTTGTGATCGCGCTAGGCTCCTTGTCGTTAATCTTAACTGTGTCATTAATGTTATTTGAGAAGAGAGTGCTTACATGATAATAGTGGCTGCAATACTAGAAGCTTTTTGTTTTTATTGGCGTATTCAATGTTCTAAAATTCATTTTAGCGTCTGTTTGCCGGCCATTTTTCACAAAAATTTCAAATTAAACAATAGTAAAAAAATTATAAACAAATGGAAAAGGTCTGACAACGAGATTCCCCAATTTCAAACATTTACCCCATATTTCCACTTACACCTCACAGTAGACAACTTCACCTAACACCTATTGAACCCCACCACCAACCACATCACACCTCCAATCCAAGCATTTCTCTCCTCGACCAGAAATCTCCATTTTGCTTGAAGCCGTTGCGGACGGAGAAGAAGAAATACAACACAAATTTTCACACTACTGAAGATCTGCTTCCCAAAACGTTCACATATAAAAAAAAAATTCAGCTCCGCCGTACACATTTCTCTATTCCGACGACGAAGTGGTTTGGCCGGATATAGTCAATCTCCGGCAAGTATAAAGTGTCCATTACCTTTTTTCCTCGATTTCCTTTACATTGAAAATGTTCTTACTCGTTTTCCCATATGATTTCCAACAGATTTATTCACTACAAATTTGGTCCGATTGTGTACAGATCCTCCACCGACATCCAGTTACAAGTCAATTTCTTAATAATGGACGGCTTTACCGTGCATCACTATAACTATCCACATTACATGGTAACGACCACGTGTTTTCCTCCGTGTCTATCTGCAATTATTTATTCCACCTCTTCGATTTCGTCCCTAATAATCTGCATTGTTTTGTCCCTTTCGGAGCTACACAACAGCCGCCCCATCTTAACTCCCTGGAGATGACCATGTCAATTTGCAACCGGAGGAGACAGTTCGTAGAATGGCAAAATGGGCAGTAAAAGAGCATCAAATTTTCATGGCTGCATGTGAATTGGCTGTCGCAGAAGGTCATCGTCATGGTAAGTGTTTCACAAAGCCCGGCTGGGACCGCATTCTATCTCGTTTCAACCAAAAGGCAAACAAGAATTAGACAATCTTCCAATTGAGAAATCACCTATAGCAAATGCGTTTCGATCACAAGTTGTTGTTCGAACTACTGCGTTGCACAGGTGTGGAGTACGACCGAACTACCGGTAATCGCGTTGTGGCTGATGACGAGTGGTGGGATCGTAAAATAAAGGTACAAAAAATTTGTTCCAGACAGTGGATACGAAACAAACCTATCTCTGCACCCATCATTTCTTAATTACAATTTTTGTTGTGTCGTAAACTGATTTGTAAAAAATGCACGCCAATAGGACTGCTACTGATTTCTCAGATTCTACATTGTCTGCACTTTCGTCTTGACGATCTGTATACATTCTGTACTGTTGAGCACATTGAAATATGGGTCTGATCGTTCACCAAAATGGGGGTTAACCTCCCACCCAAGAACTGCATTTATTTGATAGTATGGTTGCATGTCTTATTGGACCACTGAATGCTTCATGGATTGTATTGTGTCGTGCACTCGTTCATCTTAAACACATGGTAAACGACAGTTTTTCCCAATAGGTACATGAACAATTTCTATGTCATTTGTGTTATGCGGGAGAACCCCAAGTATGAGAGGTTTCGAAATAAGGATGTGGAAGAAATTTATGATCGGTACAGTCGTCTGTTTGGTGACACCTTCGATTCTAGCAAGTATGATTTCACCCCAACCAAGTTGTCACGGCCTGGGTTCGGTGGAGGTGACGATGATGTGAGCGACCAAGTAGCTGATCGATTGCCAGTATCTCTTGAAAGCAGTTCGTCCAGTGACGAACCAGAAGTTGGAAATTCAAGTGCACGTAAGTCACGATCGAGCAGGCGTAGTGGTAGCAAGCGTAAGTCCACATCTCGTTCGGAAAAGGGAAAAAAAAATATGGAGCACGTGCGATCTCAACTTCAGTAGATCGAATGGCTGACTTGTTCGCAGAACTACAGTCGTTCTCTCGGAGACATAGTTCAAATGATCTTTCGGTCGAGGACTGCATCGCGGAGATCGATGCTACTGGACTTGTCGACAGGACCAACGATCTTTTCATGTTCGCCTTATCATTCCTAGGCATTCGTGGAAACAGGGACATATGGAAGGCCGCAAAAGATGAGGGGACGAAAATGAGTTGGTTGAAGTGGTCTTATGATGACTTCAAGGAACGTAAAGTCGGTTCATCACGTCGTCTTCCTTTTGATGGGTAGTGGATTATTTGAAAGGTTGAGAATTTACATTTGCTTGTCTCAGTCGTTCGTTTCCATCTTCCGTCGTTTGTGTGCAATTGTTGTGTGATTTTAGTTTTTGTTCTAACTGTTGCATCATTAATTCTATGTCAGACTGTGCTAAAGATTTTCCTCTTTGTTTTTATATATTGTTGGTACA